AACCAGTATTAACCCACGTTATAAGGAAGGACAACTTTGTGATGTTCTCATCTCCCATCTATATAATATAATATGAAATAGCCAGCAGCCCTGTCACCCTGCAGCTCTCCGCTGCCAGCCCACTGCAGCTCAGCAGGTGTGAGTCTGGTCAGTACCTGGATGGGAGACTCCTGGGAAAAACTAAGACTGCTGCTGGAAGAGGTGTTAGTGGGGCCAGTAGGGGGAGCTCACCCTGCGGTCTGTGTGGATCCCCAATATGGTGATGGGGATACTGTACTGGAAAGAAATGGTGCCATCCTTCGAATGAGACATTTAACCGAGGCCCCCGCTCTCTGTGGTCATTAAAAATCCCAGGGCATTTCTCGAAAAGAGTAGGATTGTTACCCCAGCGTCCAGGCCAAATTTCCCATTGGCCCTTACCAATCGTGGCCTCTTAATAATCCCCATCTCTGAACTGGCTTCATCACTCTGCTCTCCTCCTCACTGAGAGTTGGTGTGTGGGGAGCAGACTGGCGCATCATCCAAGTGGGGTACACACTGGTGATGGCGAGGGGAGTCTGTATAAGCTGTCCAGAATATAAAGTTCTATATAAGTGAAAGGAACTATTATTATTGTTGTTGTTGTTGTTGTTGTTGTTGTTGTTTATACTGTAATTGAAAGATTGCCTCATCCATCCAGGTGGGGCTGCACATTGGTGGAGGGGAGTCCCCATTACCTGTAAAACACTTTGGAGTGTCCAGAAAAGGACTATATAAGTGTAAGAAATTATTATTATTATCATCATTATTATTATTATTATTATTATAGAATAATAAACCTCAAAGATTTTTACTTTCTTCTGAGGTTTAGTTTTATTATTCCTGGCTAGACAGTTTAAAGTCCATTAGCAAGAGCAACAAGTAACATCAAACTACTGTAGCTAATTCAGGTAAATTTGTATCACAGTAGATGGATTTATGGGATTTAAATGCAAAAGAAAAACAAGCTCGGGACTATTTCGGTTCACACTGAGATCACACACATTCATCACAGACTAATCTTCCATCGTTCTGCATGGACATATTTCATTGTTCCTTTCTTGCTACAGAACGGCAGGATTTCTAAAATGTTTTCACGGTTCAGAAAATAATCTTAACCAATGTAGCTACATTTATTCAGAAGAACATGCTATTCAAAAATTACCATTCACAGACTTTTACCCTGCAAGCAATGTTATCATTTTCTATGTGTGTACTGTATATCACAAAGCTGTATTACTGTCAGCACAAAGCCTCCCTGAGTAGCAGGTCATGGGGGTTTAAAAACATTAAAGCTCTTGGTACTTGACAAAGGATATGCCCCAGACAATTACATTTCTGAATTACAAATAACATAAAAGCTGTAATAGAACCACAGAAAGCGATGCCAGCACACTAATAAAGAGACACTGAACTGGTGTCATCTGTGGAATCGCCCTGGGTGCAATGTAAAACAACAAGCGCTTGCAAGCAATTATACCACAGTGCTTGCTCCTGCAGCTGCATGCAGGCATCCAGCCAGAGCTCGCAAGCACACTGCAAAGCACTGTTGCGTCCATAGACAACATGGCAGGAGGAAAAACCCCCAAGATAAAAAGATAAGTCGGACATCCATCCATTTCCTAACTGCTTTATCAAACACTGGGGTTACGGAAGAGCCTGAGCCTCTCCCGGCAAGCAACAGACAGAAGAGAAGACACATCCTGGACAGGACGCCAGTCCATCGCAGGGCACACAGACACACACTCACACACCAGGGTCAGTTTTCCCAGTAGCCTATGAACCTGCTAGCGTGTCTTTGGACTGTGGGAGGAAACTGGAGCCCCAGGAGGAAGCCCACGTGACCACATGTACTGTATCTAGTGCTATCACGGGATGTATGGGGGGGTGGTTACATGTTTATGACTACACAGACAAGAGCACATTGACAATACATCCTGTGAGTGCAGGTGCTTGTGCTTGGAGAAAGATAGTGCTTAGAAAGGCCGGCATGAACCATTTTGTGACTCCACAGTTTCCATTTCCAGCCCTGGAAATTTAACAATACAGTATAATCCCTCATGGAACCAGATAAATCAAGGAGAACAAATTCATGTTTCCAGTGCTGATCTGGTGGTACCCATTACATAGCAGGACCTTGAGTAGAGAACCATCCGTAGTGTAGAAATTACAGTGCAGCAGCGTACAGAAAACAGAAATAATGCTATTTCAAAACCCTTGCTGAATGTGAAATGACCCCTATCATCTCAGGTTATAATCAATTAAATCAGTAAAGCCACGAACAGCAACGCTTTAAATAGAAATGTAAAGGAAAAGGTGAAACAAACCACGCGCTTGAAGGTGGGCTGCTAATTTATTAAGTATAACAACAGTTTGTGCATTAAGGTGCTCAATTGGCTCATTTGGGACTACATGAACTTTTACATTTAAAGTGCAGATAAAAAGAATTAAAAGAACAAGTCTCGCTGTGAATTCTTGCCTAGTTTACAAAGCTTCCATTTCTTAATTGCTAAATACTTGCTTTTATTTACTTTACATTATAAATAATTTTAGTTAGGTCTTGTAGAACAAGTAACAGTACACATACATGTGTTTTATGTAGTATAATGACCATTAAATCTGACAATTATTTAATACCCATTTATGTAACAAATTTTATAATATACAATAATGAGCAATTTAATAGTTGTTTCCAGTTGTTCCTGTGCTTATTCGTACCGCAGAGTTTCTGCCGTTTTGAAGATTACTGGGTCTCACATTTAATAGGCAAATACACAATCAGGTAAGCACATTTTTGGTTTGTATTTAATGACCTGCACTATCCATGCTTGGAATTTCTCAAAATGTGCCCTTAATCATTAAAGTGGTTGCTGTGCTAGTAGTTGTAAAAAATCCTATCACTAAATCTGCTTAAATTTATTAAATAACAAGATGCTTTGTTGCAAAGTACTCGCACTGAAAACGAAATACTGTATTTGCTTTTAATTATTTTCTGAAAATTTAATAATCGGCAAACTAGTTTAATTAGTTCTTCAACTGAAATGCGATATTAGCAATCACACTGCTCTTACTGCATGTCGAATAGATTGTTTCATTTGCCCGTGCAATTTGTTTTAATTGAGGACTTAGGCTGGTGAGTGGTTTTAAGAAATCTATACAGAACTATAATTTCACACCCAAGAGGAAGCGATTTGGTCATTACGGCTTTTCCATTGGCTTTGTCTGAAAGCTGTCCAAATAAAACAACAGAGACTTTTATTTTCTCTCCTGCTTACATGTATTTAGAAAGATACCTGCAGCGTAAATACAATAAGCTCAATAATAGGAGTGTATAACACTGAGTTTCGGAGTGGTTTAAAAATAGTGATTTTAATAACACGATTACGAAGAGCCGCTTTGTCTAATATCATCATGCAATTATCAGAAAACACTGGACTGTAACAATGACCCCTTATAACCCAAGAGTACCAGTACAGTAGGTCGAGATTCTCCGGCGTATAGCACTCTATTATCTCTTCCTGTTTTTCTTCCAAATATATTTTACTCATTCTTTCTGCTTTTGTCAATAAACTTCTTATTCTAATCGCAAACCTACAGTACGGTATCTGGCGACAGAAATGTTTTACTCCTACGCACGTACAGGGAAAAAACTGCTTGGAAACACCATTATGTTCGTTGTCTTACTTTTTGAAAAAAAATATATTTAAATATCGTTTCCTTGTTTATGTAGCGAGTATGACGGAATAATTGCTGTAGTGTGTATGACGGAATAATTGCATTTTTGTTTCAAAAGACCACAGGAACCTCAAGGTAAAAATGCCTTAAGACCTAATAGAGATGCTGACACCAAACACCTGGTTAGCATAAAAACTGGACACGCTGAGCAGCATTAACTGCGCTAATTATCGTTATTGTGAAATTCTCTGCGCAACTTTCAATTCTTCTGTAATCAGCGTAATACAGCTTGACAAAATCGCTATGCTCGCAAAGCGTTGTTTATTTGAAGTTTAAATAACTTAATAATACAGCTGTTACGTTGTTTAAATCCTTAGAGAATTGAGGTAAAACAAATAAATCGCTACATTCGTTGAAGTCTAGGTGGAGGAGACTCCTGTGAATTCTGTGTAGCATCGCTATTGACGGGACTTCGCAAATTTGACAAGAAAACACCTTCACCTGAATAGCTTGCAAACACTAATTCTCAACCGCAAAGTAAACTATATTCTACAAAAACATACTAAAATCATTTTAAAGCTTCACATGTTCAAGAGTTCATATCTTAATGAAAGTTGTACTGAATCTCTGCGGTATTTTGTTAAGAGTTGAAGCGACAGGCTTCAAGATTTTTCCAGGTTTTAACACGTATACAAGAGCCCGTGTCGCGTACAGACACGACTATAAAGGTTTAAAAAAATCAACAAAATAACTTAGAAACGAGCGTTTATGCAACAATTCTATTAGTCCACGCTGTCATTTTGACTCAACAGTTTGCAGGGTATGCTACCAATCTCGTTTTCTGCGGTCTTGTACTGTTCGAAAGCCTGCAGTATTAAGATCCGTACTGCTTTCTGATTAGGAAGGACTCGCTTGTCATGAAAATTAAATACCAAAACACGATCGTGTCAGCAACTGCATTTTGTGTTGCATTCATATTTGGTCACAATTTATCGAGCAGAAACGCTATAGGGTGTTTTCAAATAATGCCCTGTAATTCAGCGCACGTTCAATAACTTGTTTTTAATTTTACTGACTCAAAGCGATTGATGGATCATGATTTTTTTTTTTACTTTTTTTTTTAGTTCAGTTTTTTTTTCCCCTTCACAGTTCAGCCCGTGGTGATCGGTAGGTAATGTGTCCGGTCTAAACTTCTGGTCTGAAAAAGCGTCACTTTTCGCATCGCTTTTCCTCCGTCGCCAGCGTCCGTCAAGACCGTAAATTTAAAAGACAGAAACACACGCCGGTGCGGTGCGCGACAAACTCACCTGCGGCCAGACACACCGGCAGGAGCAGCCGGAAGATCAGCCCGCACATCACTTCAGAGGCCATCGCTCGGGTGTCGCAGGGAGAGGTGGATCAACAGCCTAGGTTTCTCAAGAGAAGATACTCTCTACCTCGCTCGGGGAACACAAATCCTTAAACGAGCGAAGTCCAGCCGGGCTCTCGGGGCTCCCGGTAACTGACCATGGCCCTGTGCGCGGTACCTTCCCCTTCAGCGGGGGCTGGACAGTCGGTCAGAAAGGTCCTGGTCCCCCATCCAGCAGCCCGGGACGAAGCCGAGAACTTTTCGCCCGTCTCACGCCTTGCGTTTCCACCGCAGAAGAGCCCCTTCTGCTCTATGTCCGCCTCCCCATTGCAGAGACTTCGGATATGTTTCTGCCAGAAACCAGTGGGGTGTTTTTTTTCTTCTTCTTTTAAATGCAACACTCAACACGCGACGATAGGGGAAAAAAAGAAGGGGGGGGTGGTCCTCTTCCACTAATAACTCAAATAATCACCTTGAGTTTCTGTCATCCTCTGGCAGTCTGAGTTATTATTTACTGCTGAACTCGAGCAAACCTCGTTTTCCAGTGTCCTCCCGGTTACAGTTCGAGAGAACTAAAGTCAGGGACGGGGGAGACACCCCAGACACCCCTTTTATTCACACAGTTTCCCCCCTAATAAATCCCGAATCCAGCTCGGAAGTGTTCAACTTTCAGTCTGGAGCGGGACACGGGAGAGCTCTAGCAGCACGGTAAGGGCAGGTTTTATTTATCCGGGGGGGGGGAGGGACAGACACCGCTCTCTAGCCCGACAGCTCCGGCACCTTTGCCCGCGGCCACATCTGACTCCACTCTGCTCTCCTCCTCAATGAAAACTTCGCTGGACCACCCTGTAACGGGCAAATGGCTGCACCATTCAGCAGCCGCGCAGGAGGCTGCGGAGAGCGGCCGGGCCCCCAATGAGCGCCGCCGGGAGGTGGGGCGAGGAGGCGGCGGACGTGTTTTGGGAAGAGGCGCCCCTCCCACCCGTCTCCGGCGCTCCGAGAGGGTCCCGCAGCGCGCCTGGCCTGCGCTCCCGGGCAGCGCGCACAAGCCGACCCGCCGCTACCCTGAGCTTACCACCGGGCAGAGGGCAATCATTGCTTTAGTTTATCCAAAGTTTGGGAGATTTTCTTTTGGGGTTCGCCTCACACGTAGCGGTAACCAGCACGGCGTGAAGTACTGTACAGTATGTGACAGTTTGTAGGAGCGCAGAACGTACGTTTTAGAACTGTTTTGTTCATCTTTGTGTTTACCTACTCGCTCCCCATTTAGAGTCACTTAAAATACTTCCGTTAAACTGCGTTTGGGCTCTTAATATATAAATATATTTCCTTTGGGGGTATTGCTCTGCGCATTCCCTTGACTGGTCACTGGGAATTATTTCCTGAGCCTGGACAGTGGAAGGACTAGTGGATGAATCAGGGACAGTTTAAGTGCATCCACTTTTACAGGGACACTGCAAGCAAACTGGGATCTACGATTTAGGTTTTACCTAATCACGTGTGTTACGGTATTTGAAATGCTTTGAAAGAAAACAGTGCCGGGGAATGGCGATTGTAGAACATCTGTTTCCTTTTTTGCCAGCTGTAATGAAGTTCACGTGAACCTAAGGACACGGTTACAGACGGCTGCAGCGTTTAACAGTTTTAGAGCGCCACCTATCGAATTTACGTTTTAAATAACTTGTACTGTATTATTCCTCTGTAAAGCATTTTAGTGTTTTAATGTTACAGCTGAAATTTTACTAGCGTCTCCATTAAAAGGAAGGAGACTATAGTTTTAAGAACTGAGACGCGTCTTAAATAGATTGCTTTTAGCACTAATAAACAACGGAATATGTAATGCGATGTCTTTAGAATAATGGCATAAAATATTACATTGAAGGCAGCACTGTTTCACCGAGAGGAACACAAAAGACATATTTTCCAACTTTTTATTAAGAGAAATTTATGGTTTTATAGTGTTCACAGTCAAAGGAAGGTTTGTAAGGCAACTGCAATGTAGGCATGTTTTGTGGAAAAGCCGTATATAAAAAGACAAGAGTAAAGCAGGCATGCTGTACAGTATGTTGAACACCTTTAAGAAAAGGAAACAGGAGCATTGAATTGACTTGAAACAGTCAGTGCGTCTGTGCATGATAACTGGGGCACATTGTGGAAAAGGATATCCCATGCAGGAAGTCTCACAGCAACAGCAACAAAAAAATTGCATTGTTATTTTGATTTTTTAACGTAATTCCTTAGGAAATAAAGAGTATTATTTTTTTAATTACCTAACTTCCTTGCTTAAAGATGCCATTCTTCCTTTGCAATTTTATACATCCTCATCACCATCATGACACGTTTTGCTCTTTTCCCTGGTCATCATGTACATTGAAGCCCTGGTTTTTATATATTTCAGAGACTGGTGGAGTTCTGTGAAGCTGTTCATACCCATTTTTTGCCTTTACTTTATGCTACTGTATTACTTTAGTCTTTTTGGGATTGTAGCCTTTCCTTAAGAGCTACTACTTTACAGATGCAGATATTACCAGATGTTGCAACACCCTGTTTTGCACTGCATTTTAAACCCTTGTTCTAATTCTGTTATCTCATCTCCTTTTTTTTAACCGTAAAGTGCTTTGAGAAGCTATTTTTAAGGGCGCTATATAATCTAAAGTTTCTTATTATTGTTTGGGGTCAAAGAAAACTCAGAGCTATAAAGGGAAAGTCCTGGGGTTTAAAATAATAATTTATAATTGTTTTAAAGGGTCTGTGAAGATTCATCAACAATGTTGCAGTGAAACAATACTGCACTCTCTAATGTCCGCAGACAACAAAAACAAAGCCTGGGTAGACTAAGAGAAAATATACAAATTATTCCTGAAATAACACTTGGAATGGATAGGTCATCTGCCAGTAAGATATTAACCTTGTAGCTTTAAAACAGGAACAATTACTGCTTTCCTGAAGAGTAGCACAGAAGTGCCTGGATGTCTGCCAACAGCACAATGTTTTTTAACAAAACACAGATGATAGAAGCTGCTCTGTTGTCAGAGCTCAGGAATTTTGAGCCCTAAAATTGAATGGAAGACTGCATTTACTTTGAGCACTGAAACTGTGTGCTATCTCCTGATGATTTGTATGTTCAGCTTTATCAGACAGGATAATGCAATGCAAACATACAGAAAAAACTATCATGTCATTTTGTGTTAAAAAATGTGAGGCTCTGAAATTTAGGGAACTGAGCTTGATACAAAGTACATTCCAACCACACCACAAAGTACACAAAGGCTTAAAAATGTTAGTTTAATATTAGTAAGGCAAGGTCATAAAGTGAAAAAGGTTTTCAGGACTGTCATTTATTATCTTGAGTTTTCTGGGGTTTTTTTAACAGCCACTGTATTTTTTTTTTAAGGATTGTTGTGTCATTTGTACAACATACAGGAAATCATTACTTAAGAAGCTAATTTCAGTTTTGAAAAGGCTGTTGTCAATTCCTCATTACACAAGGGCTTGTAGGAGCAAGGAACAAGCTACCCAGGCTTCTTCTTGAAACTGATACTGTGGATTGTCTCAAAAAATGCCCAGATGAGTTCAAAACTTACTATCAAACAGGCCAGATGGCCTCCTGTAAATATCCTTTTATATATTCCTGTTTTCTAAGGGGATATGAGAAGTAAATTAGTATATATTAGTATAGCCAAAAAAAAACGTTTTATCATGGGGGCACATTTTTCAAACTAAGCTTTAAAGTGAACTCAGTGTGATGCTAAGAATTGTTTAAGGAACAGCAGGACAAATAAAGATTTTTTACACCTATAGGGATGAACTAGAGTGCCGTAATACGTATGGTAGCACTTATAGTATGAGGTAGTTGTTTGATTGCCAAATGCAACAATAGTTTCCTGAAAATGAAATGGCATTTATAGTGTTACAGCAGGTGAGGTCACAAGGCTTCGTTAGCCTGCCATGGATAGATTGGTATTTATATGATGCAGCTAATATCCCAGGGCATTTCTTGAAAAAGAGTAGGAGTGTTACCCTGGCATCCTGGCCAAGTTTCCCAATGGCCTTTACCAATCATGGCCTTCTCATAATCCCCATCTCTGAACTGGCTTAATCACTGTTATTAATTATAATTATTAGTATAGATGCACAAGACACAAAACTCATTTAAGACATCGCATCACAACATCAGATTAATTAACTCAATATATATTACAATAAAATACTGTGTATTTATAGAAGTTGTGTATTTTTTTCATGAGATGTTATTATTGTTAGAGTTCGTAGTGGCAATCCCAGTTTAGACATTACTTGTCCAGTACCTGTGGAGGTCACTGTAGCACTTGGCCTTAAAGCATCACTTTTAGACCCATCGATATTCTGATCTGGTCCTGGATGGGCAGCGGTCCAACAGATGTTATGGGTAACTTCAGATCTTCAATCAGTATCAACCTCCAAACGGTGGTAATATAGATGAGTTATGTGGACAATTGTTTTTTTAAATCAAGTCCAGGGCTGGTTGAAAAGCAGAAGACATAGTGGCCCTCAGCACATGGAGTGAATCCTAGTGGGATAAACTGGGCAGGCCTACAGAGCTACTGTAACAGCACAGCTGAGGAATCGTACTGGGGGAAGAGCGCTTGTCCACAGCGCTAAATATTCACGGGCACCTGATAAAACACAGAGTCGTTGCTGCACGAACACCGAGGATAAATTGAACATCTAACCCATCTCCGGTGTCATGACTTTTCAGTTCTGTGTCACTCCTTAGGAAACTCCAGTCACAGCAGGCTAAGAACAGCCAAGATTCAAGCTTACAATCACTGGACCTTTGTGAATTGTGTGTTCTGACCTGAGGTTTTACAGTGCCTTTTAAAACAAGGATCGTGGAAGATTGTGGGAAAAAGTACATGGATTGAAATTTGGACTGCTAATATGTCTGTCTTTGCCATTAAATGCCTGAGGATAGTGAATAAGATAAAGTAAATACCGAGTATAATAAGTATGGCATATGAGAACTTTATCTCACACTGTGTCACGATTGTGATCCCTCCTCTTAAGGGCGATCTGGTTCTTTCTTATTTTGCTGATTACGTGCACCTGCCCACAATCCTGCCCCTCCTTATTCAAGCCTGGCACTCTCACTATTCTGGGCTCAGCGGAAGCCCGCCTACCAGCGGGTCCAGGCATAGGCTTCATCACGGCGGCCTGACCATCTGTGTCCGAGGCTTGGAGCGCCTGGCCCTGTCATCCTGTTTTTATTTTCTATCCCTGTACCAGATCCCATTCCGGTTTTTAACCTTGTCTTGTTGTGTCTCGGATGGAACACCGGGTTTTGGACTTTGGACTTCTCCCCGGATTTCCCCCCGGGACACCTTGGACTTGTCTGCCTTGGCCACACCCCCCGAGCGCCAGTTCACTGTCGTCACGCCCACCTGTCAACCTGCCCTGATCCTCGTCGTCTCCTCCCCGTTGTCCCTCTCCACTTACTTCCAGATTATACCGTCTGCATAGGGTCCTGAACTACACTTCACAGGAGCCTGGACCGGCTCCCAGTGCAGACTGTATATGAATAGAATGTTCTAATTTGGATCCATACAGTCCTGCAAAGAAATTTTATAGCTCACTAGCTATACTGCTATATTATCGTGTAGCTATAAAGTTATATAATAGCCATACAATTTACTGTAGTAATTAGCTACATACTGAGAGTCTTATATTGGTAATCAAAAGTCTGTACATAATACAGTGCTCATTAGCAGTTTTTTATTAGTCCAAAATCCAGAGCTTTGTGTCTTACTCCCTGCTGGGTTTTCGAGAGTATATTTTAAATGCCCAGCTGTTACTCTTACTTTGTTATGAATCTCTATGGGATATGTACTATCCATCA